AACTGCTTTTTTGGCAGCTGTCACAAGAATCATAAAAAGATATTTATTTCTCATGTCCTGCAGAAGATCAAGATTATTTAGGAATATAGTAGAGATGTAAAGGTATATTATTTGCCTTAAATATAGTGATTAAGGCTTTGTGGAACTCGTGCCAAAAGGGCTTAATCTTCGAGCAATCCCAGAATATGTGCCAGTGCCCTGCCTCCTGTGCCCCACACCTTCTCCAACAACCGAGGGTACCCGTGTGCCAATTGTCATCTGGTTTGGTGTTATAAAAAAATGCATCAGACTTTTCCAACTGTAATCCCGCCACATATTAGAGTTCATACATTTCCATATCGATTTACATGCCAATCAGCCATTCATTTTCTATTGCAATGTCACCTTCTTTTTCCCACCTTTCTTTAATATAATAGTGAATGGGGTTCCTGGGCAAAGCCCATTTTATAATTTACCAATCATATCCTTAAGTAAGGTAAGCTTTCCGAAAAATTATTAAAACTGGATCATCTACATCTGTTTTGGTAAGGATGTTTAGCTGGAGGTAGTTCCTCATCTGGATGTATCTAAAATAGTCTAAATTATTAAGCTCAAACTCCGTCTTCCAATATTCAAAATCCTTAATGGCCCCTGGGCCACGAGTTTGAGACCCCTGGTCTGGACTGCCCTATATTTGTAAACAAAAAAGTTTCTATTACTTCACAGAAAATGTGAGCTTTCTATAGTGATATTTAAAAAACAAACTTTTATGCCAGTTTATTTATTTACTTAATTATTTGGGGGGTAGTATGAGTGATCATGGGAGAGTCAACAAGACAAAGCTGTAATATTTATTAAAATAAATGTAAACATACAAAATGTATGTTCTCCTTTACATTTTCGATTAAAGTCTCTGCTAGGCCGATTTTAGCCCCCGGACCTTATGCTTGACCCACATGTGTTATGCTGGAGTCTGTAGCAGCAACACTATGCAGTGTTTCTGTCACCATTAAAATCAATTTTACTCAAAACTAAAATTAAGCCCATATAAAAGCATTTTCTTTGAACACTTGTGCGCATGGAAGCCATCCCAGGAGTGCCTCTGTTAATGTGGGTACTGAGGAACAATAGAGACAGCACCACCACATGCCAAAGTTTTTCTCAATTGAGATTTAGGAGAAAATCTTAAATAAAAAGAAACTGCTGCTTCTGGTAAATAAAAACACACTTTTAAACGCTGATAAACTGTGTGAGAGTGACCTGGTAGGCTCAAACTAGGTGTGATCAGTAACTCCACACCCGTTAGGCCTGGCAGTGAAAGTGGCCAAAACCAAACCTGTAGCTCTCTACTAACGTCTCCACAATGAAGCTGGAGTCTTCATGCGAGAAGCTGAAGGCCAAACCCAGCAGAGGCTGTCTATAAGAACGCACTAATTTCTGTACTGCATAGTTATAAACTAACCGCACGACAAAGACGTAACCATGATCGCCACTAGTCGCAGGGGCGTAGGCTAATAACGTTACCTGAAGCTGGAGCACTCTAGACACAGAAATCGTTAAACCGCATTTCTGTATATTATATAACAAAACGGACAAACGCTGACACGTGTTTTCTGTTAAAGGAATGTGCGCTCACCTTGTGAGTCACCCACAACACCCGCATTGACGTTTTAACCCCGTAGTAGCACGACCATCTTTTGTTTTTGTCTGCCGCTTCCTCATATAGTTCCGTGTAGGGGTTGAGTGCCATGTTGCGGACCAACCACATGCGCTGACATAAAGTAGTTCGTCCAATAGGAACAGAGGACGAGTTGGGAGGCGGCACATTACTGGTCAGTCTCCGCTTTATTTATGTAAATATAATTATTTATCTTTGTGATTTTTTTTCTGTTTCTGTTCTTTCTGTTTTCCCCACAGTTCAATTGCTTTAGGAGGAGTCAGATTTGTGCAAAGATACCTGTCCGTGCTGGTGCTTTATATTAACTTTATATATAATAATATAATAACATATATCCAACTCAGCCCGAAGGCTTATCGGCTCAAACAGATGACAAATGGCAAAGCTGGAGAATATACTAACTAGAAAATTATATTACTGAAATCTCCCAAACTGATAGTATAATTCACAGCTTACTAAGCACGTTGTGTTACTTTATTTAAAGGATTAAGCAGTTGTTACCTCTAGTTAAGCTCAATTTTAATGACGCATTTGCGAGTGGATATGTTAAAAAAATCAGACACTTTTGGTTAAGTAAAAACAAACAAACAAACAAACAAACAAACAAACAAACAAACAAACAAACAAACAAACAAACAAACTCTTTCAGGTATAATAGTTTAGCAGTGGAATATTCCAGTGGCGTGAGATGAACAGCGAGGGTGGTTATTAACATTCCTCAAAGCTCAAACAGACTGAAGTCCACAGAAAAATACAGTGCAAACACCCATCTGCGAACATCTGGACTCCACCGTCCAATGAAAAGCAGTCGCAAAACTAGCACAGACCAATCAAAAGCGACAATCTGAGCACGAACACGTCGTCTTGACTAGGACGGTGACGCTTGAAAGGAAACCAGACTGGACCGTGCAGTTTCAAAACATTAGTGCAATAAATTCATCTTTTAGTGTCCTAATGGGTGCCATTCAGGGGTTCCCCAAATGGGAGCGAAAGGTACGCATGTTTTTTTGCCTTTTCGGTTTGGTTTTGTCTGTTTATGCCCTTCACGTCGAGGTATCCAGGGAGAGAAACGCAGATTACAGAGCGCTGTGCGACATGGGGGAGTCTGTAAGCTGCTCCAGAGTTTTTACCTCAAGGTATGATTTGACTCCTGCTTTTTGTTTTTCCTCATGCCTGCGCTTTTTGTGCAGAATCAGCTTACCTCGATCTGTTTTCAAGTGACCACTGATCCATATCTGATCCTATCTTGTCTTCCAGCTGATACTTTAGCATATTTTTTCTAGCCTTTCTACCCCCATTGAATTGCCACGTGTTCTTAATTTATCTGAAAAAACTTTAAAGCAAGTAGCTTCCCGTTTCACATTGTGAGCATACAAGGTATATACATTTATTTTGACATTTCTTGTCATTTTTAAGAGAATAAATCTTTATTACACGCTTAATGTTGTACACTCAAGAAATAATTCTTTGCCCTCATAAACATGAAGCAATAATTTTAAGTAAAATTTAGCTGTAATGTATAAAATCGAAGGTTTATAAATAATCATTAATGAAAATATGTTGATTATAAACTCTGTATACCATTCAAGTAAATTTCATTTGCTTAAATTTAACATTTAACATACTTATGTAACAAAATTACATAGAACATTTACATGTATTAAGTTACTGAAAGTAAGCATTTTGGCCATAGATACCTTTTGTGTACATTTAAATGGTCATATCACATTTCATATCTCTGTAAGGCTGATTATATTTCATTGGAATAAAGAAAGAAAAAAAAATATTGTTCATTTTATTTTGAAGAAATTGCTGCCCTGACTGTTACTTCTTTCTTTCTGGCAGATGGGGACGTGGTTTTGGTTTGGTCCAGTACTTTGTGGCCAAAGATAGTCCTCTAAACCAGCCCAACAGTGTTCTTGGCATCATATTTTACACTCTGCAGATGGGCCTTGGTTAGTCTGTGATTGTCTTCTTTAAATTACAGTGCATTGCTGAGAGCTTTTTATTCAGAATATCATTTGCAAGTCAATGTGTTTGTGATCCATGGCAAGCACAAGTATTTCAGGTATTTGAAGATTGCATAATATGTATATGGAGCAATACATTTACTCCACTCTGGACGTGAGACTGTGTGGAATTTCCCAATGATGTACTATGTTTGACTGAGGTCCTGATATCCTCTCTATTTGACTTTTTTATTTACAGGACTGTCTGTGTCTAAAAAAGCAGCAGCTTTTTTGGTCTTCTCCTCCTGGGTCTCTGTGGCCGGTTCACTCTATCTTGCATCTATTCTCGCATTTGTTCTGGGAGACTTCTGCATGGTCTGTGTCTCCACGTATATTGTCAACTTTGCATTGCTCTACACCAACCTGAAACGGAGGAGAGCAGTTCAGGAAATTAAGGAAAAAGCCAGATAGAAAGTGTTGCCTGTGAAATGTAACAAATGTTCCCTTCCTGCCATCCTGAAACCCCGCTGGATTCATCTCACAGTATTTTGCCAGTGTTTACATGAGTTTACATTCAGTATTTTCACAGAAAAACAACTGGAGATTTAACTCTAATATCAGAATATCTATAAGTTGGTTCTCAATACAGAAACTTTGTTGTGCAGCAGCTACTTTTGTATATTGTTATTAACTTGTAATGATTAAAACACATTTTTGAATTCTGTCTGTTGTTGTGATTTAATTCTGGGCTGTTATATGGTCAAATGTGTTAAAAGTGGCTATACCTGTCTCCACAGTACATTTACTCAGTCCTACCAGCAGATGGAGATAAATGTCTATTTAATAGCAGTTCAAACAAACTTTATTGGAACGACTTTTCAAGTTACCCGTCCTCCCCAAGAAAGTCACCAGACCTACAAAAAACAAAAAAAAGGATGATAAAAAAATAAACAAATATATCTAATAAAGTGTGCATCATTAAATATGTACAGTTTTTAACTAATTTATTAGACCACATGTCATAAAAAAGAACAAGCAGTGGCAGCTCATTAGCTCGCCTTCAAAGTAAAAATCTGATTATTAAAATAAAATTTATTTCAACTGTGGTTCAAAAGGACAACGACAAAAACAGTTAATATGGTAAAATGTGTATTGCTATTTCATGGTGCAAACACCTCAATTTCTTACATTTAATGCTTTGTCTATTTCTTACTTATCTGAGAACTGATGAAAATCATAAGTAAGATGACAAGTTTGAACCGTTTGCGAAGGAATTGTACCGAGCCTTCGAAACAATCTGAAACAATCTCCACAGTGACATCTGCTGGCCAATGTGACTATCGCCACATCTCTCTTTTTGTGACGTTTAACCCTGGTATTTGTCTAAAGAAGACAACATTTTTAAGGGGAAAAAAACATCGGTGTAACTTCTTTGTAGCAAAATGCACTCTGTGCGGGGAAAGGCTACAGTAAAATAAGAATGCACACCTGGGACTTTGAGAGCTGCAGTGTCACCATATGAATGTCAGGGGCAATGGAAGGTCCTTGCTGTCCAGTATCTGTGAACCCCAAGCTGGACTTTGGCTGAGAGGGGACTCCTAAAGACCCACAGAGAGGATTTGTGGTCTGTGGTGCAGTTTTCTCTCCTACAGAGGGACAGATCTTCTCCATTTGTCCAGCACTTGCAGTCAGCGAGTTGTGGTGGGAGTTGTGATTATTCTGCCCCCTGATATCCACATTCCTGTTTGTATCTCTGGTGCTCAGTGGTGGAGCTTTCGACAAAAAACCCTCCAGGGCGAGCAGCTGTGACTGAGGTTGAGGGTCGAGCTGGGTTTGATTCTGAGGCTGGAGCTGTGGCTGGAGAAAGCTCGACGGCAGCGGCTGTGATGTCCTGTCTGGCTGCGCCCTCGCCTCTAATTGCTGCCCATTCCAATTCCCCAAACAGTTGAATCCACTCTGCCCATTGCTCTCACTGTGAGGTTTGAGTGTGTCGTTTTTAACAAAGCCACTAGTGACAGTCATTATATCTATGCCTCCGCTTACAGCGACAACTATATCTGCTGGAGGCTTCGTCTGGCTCATGGAGAAAACTAACGATGGTTGCTGGGTGCTGGGAGCCTGAAACAAGTCCGGCTGGTTAGGTTTAACTTGAGACATTAACTGTTCATGGGACTGAACCTTCCTCGCTTCCTTATCTGTTTTGTTGTTCAGTGCTCCTTGAGTGTTGTCATCCATAACTACACCTCTCTGTACATTGCAGTCCTTATTCTTTGCAC